GAGAATCTGAAGTTTCCTGAGCAGTTCATATTTAGGTAAATGGGAAAAGACATTTACAGCCAGCACTTTCTTAGTCTTTGCCAGGACTAACATCAACAAAAAATGCAATATGGCAGTCTTGTATTTTAAGCTCACGCTTTTGGGGATACATTCTCAGGTCTTCTTTAATATGAGAACTGCAAAATATAACTGCCATTACATGGTAATGGGAGTTAAAGAATAGAGTCCTCATGTAAAGATTAGAACATGCTTTTATTAGTCCTTCAAGGAAAGACTTTCAAAATGTTTGATTCTAATAATCCCATGCTGTGAGTAGATTGCTTACTCTTCACTTTGTAAATTTGTCATCAACTTTGGAATTTCAGTTATAGATGAAAACTATCTCAATTTAACTTTTATTACCCCATGATGATATACAGGGTACGTAGACAAAAAGCTTTTTATCAGCTCATTATATGAAAAGATAAACAATGTAATAATTCATGTGATCCATAATGGGCAAAAAGCAAAAGACTAGCTTCCCCTCAAGAAGAAAAATTTCAGACCTATGAAAAGGGCAACAGAACTAATAAAAAAAACTGTCTTTACCTAGAAGCATTCAGAATGACAACAAAACAGCTGCAACTTTTTTTTTGTAATTCCAGAGTTGTATTCAGTTAACAGAACAACAATTATTTCGTATAAGCTGCATCAGAGACAACTGAAGATGAAAAAACTACCATCCCCATATGTAACTAATTTGTGCTGTGCACCAGCAAGAACCTGCTTTAAATTTCCATGCCAATTTACAACCCCCATACAGTACCAGGCAAGGTTAGTGGCTATTGAAAATACCACCAGGACAGGGCTATCTAAAGACACATTCAGCAGTGTGTTAACTGTACAAAAAAAGACACTGTACAGTTTAGAAACAAATCTTACACAGCCTTACATTTCAATTTTTTTCTTTAAAAGGAGTGAGTTGTATACAGGGGGGTTAAATGCTTTATAGACAAGAAAAAAAACTGCACTAGAACCAACTTATTCATCATCATCATCTTCTTCTTCATCTTCCTCCTCCTCTTCCTCATCTTCATCTTCCTCATCTTCCTTCTCTTCCTTCTTTTTCTTGCTTTTTTCAGCCTTGACGACTCCCTTTTTCGCTGCATCAGGCTTTCCTTTAGCTCGGTCTGCAGCGATATCCTTTTCGTATTTTTCCTTCAGCTTTGCAGCCTTCTTTTCCTCAGGCTGCTTGTCACCCTCAGCAGTGTTACTCCACATCTCTCCCAGCTTCTCTGCAACATCACCAATGGACAGGCCAGGATGTTCTCCTTTGATTTTGGGGCGATACTCAGAACAGAACCAGAAAAAGGCCGAAGGAGGCCTCTTGGGTGCATTGGGATCCTTGAACTTCTTTTTTGTTTCCCCCTTAGGAGGGATATAGGTTTCCATTTCTCTTTCATAATGGGCCTTGTCCGCCTTTGCCGTATCTTCAAATTTTCCCTTCTCTTTAGCAGACATGGTCTTACACCTCTCTAAGCACTTCTTAGAAAACTCTGAGAAGTTGACTGAAGCATCTGGGTGCTTCTTGTGCTCCTCCCGACAAGTTTGCACAAAGAATGCAAATGATGACATTTTGCCTCTCGGCTTCTTAGCCTTTGCCCATGATTAGTTATTTTTCCTCAGCGAGGGACAGAGGTGCCCAGTGCTCATCCAGCTCTCACTTGCCCCGGTGCTGTCTCTATGGAGCTCAATGTACTACTCAATCTTTGGTATTTTGTTATGGCAGCCCAAGCAGACTAATTCTCCCAGGGATGGAGCTTTACCAGGTAAATATTATAGAAGAAAATGGAACAAGTTGTGATTGTCAAGGTGAACTGAATGAGACTGTGTAGGATGCTAAGCCCCGAATATGGCAGTTACTCAGCCAGTAGTAGCTGCTGTCCGTAGCCTCCTAAGGGGCTTGTCTGGCTTCCGTCCTCTGTGGCAGGCACTGTGTTAGGAAAACAGGGAGGAAGTCAGCAGCGAGGTGTTTGTCTGAGGGGGTCAGAAACAGACGTGGAGAGCATCAACATGGCCTATACAGCATGTCCCCCCATCACAAGAAATCAATCTCTTTCTGACTCAGGAAATGTCACAGCAGAGGTGACATTTGAGCTGAGCACAGATGCTGAAAAGGAGTTTATGGTAGAAGAAAGCTCAGAGGAAGGAAGGCACGTGGTCAAGAGAACAAAATGTCTCTCAAAGCCTTAGTGCAGGAGGCAGGAGCAGGGAGGGGCGAGGAGGCAGCTTCTAACTAGAATGTGAAAGGCCTGGAGCTGGTCCCCTAGTAACCCATAAGCAGACAAGTGATGTGATCAGGTGTTCTTTTTTTTTTTTTTTTTTTTTGAGACAGAGTCTCACTATGTCGCCCTCAGTAGAGCGTTGTGAAGTCACAGCTCACAGCAAACTCAAATTCTTGTGCCTAAATGATTCTCTTGCCTCAACCTCCCAAGTAGCTGAGACTACAGGCACCTGCCACAATGCCCAGCTATTTTTTGTTGTAGTTGTCATTGTTGTTTACAGGCCTGGGCCGGGTTTGAACCCGCTGGCCCTGGTGTCTGTGGCCAGTACCCTACCCAATGAGCACAGGCATTGAGTCTCATCAAATGTCTTTTGAAAGAAAGATAAAGTTCAGTTAGCACTGGAGACAATAAATCAGAATGGGAAAAGAACTTCAGGAAGTATTTGCGACAGCCCTATTAGACCTGAAGCAAAGGTGGGACCAAGAGGCTTCTGAGGGGGTGAATTCAAGGTTTGGTGGCCAAAAAAGACAGAGACATACTGGAAAGGTGAGATGCAACAATTACTCCTAGCTTTCTGGCTTGGACGACCGTGTGTATCTTAATGCTATTTACCAGTAGGGAGCAAGAGGTGGAAAATTGGGTGAAATTGGGTTGTTTTGCTTTTATTATTATTTTTGTTGTATGTCATACTTATGGGGTACAGTATGATATTTCAATACATGTATACAATGTATAATAGTTAGATCAGGGTAATTAGCATATCCATCACCTCAAGCATTTATCATTTCTTTGTGTTGGGAATGCTCAAATCTACCCTTCTAGCTGTTTGAAAATCTACAATCCTGTTATTGATTCCAACCCTCCTGCAGTGCTGCGGAACACCAGATGTCAGCCCTGCCATCTTGCTGCACTTCCCTTAGCCAACTTTTGGCTATATCCCCTCCCTGGGACTCTTCCTAGCTGCTAGTAATCATTATTCTGTTCTCCCCTTTTTTATGAGGGCTTTTTTAGCTCCCACATGTAAGTGAGAACATATGGTATTTTTATTTCTGTGTCTGGCTCATTTTGTTTACCATAATGTCCTCCAAGGTCATCCGTGTTCTCGGGCGTGGTGGTTGGAAGAGTCTGGATAAGTCTAGTCTTTGACACAGTCACTTTGAAGGCCTGTATGAGACTCAGTAGGCAATGAAAACGCCCATTTGGAGCTGAGGAGGGAGCACCAGGCTGGAAAAATCCATCCTGTTATTTTGTACTGTATTAAAGCCATGGATGTGGTTGAGAAAAAAATAGCCATCACTCACTTGTGTTTATCACCTGCCAAGCACTGCCCTGCATGGGGATCACCTCATTTAACGCTGCCAGAAACTTTATTTAGAAGTTACTAATGTTGCTGATGTTTTCTCAGATGAGTGATGTGAAGTTTACAGAGATTAAATCCTTTTCCCAAGTTTGCATAGTTGATAAGTGGATTTGTTTTTTTTTCTTTTTTGCCAGGGCTGGGTTTGAACCCTCAACTTCCAGTATATGGGGCCAGCGCCCGCCCTACTCCCTTGAGCCACAGGTGCCACCATTTTTTAAAGTTTTTTAAAGAATTTTTTAAATTCTTTTTTCCCAAAGTCTCAAAAAATAGACAACTAATATTTATAAATAAAAATAGAAGATAATTTCAAAAAACAGATCATGCCAAATCTTATAGATAATAGAAAAAGAAGAAATTCAAATTCATTGTACTATATCTGATATTAAAATTGGAAAAAATATATTATTATAAAGGGAAATTACAAACATATTTAACTTATAAATGAGGATGTAATATCCTAAGCAACATATTAATAAGTTGAGTTAAAAATTATTGTTCAAATAATGTACTTTGGTTAAAATTAAGTGAATTTGAACCCAAGTGATTGGACCCCAGTGCCCTGCTCCCTGGGGTTTATTGTGGAGATATCCACATTTAAGGGCAAATAGAAGTGGGGGGTCTAAGTTGAATGCAGTGGCTCATGCTTATAATCCTAGCACTCTGGGAGGCTGAGGTGGGTAGATTGCTTGAGCTCAGGAGTTGGAGAGCAGCTTAGCAAGAGTGAGACCCCATCTCTACTAAAAATAGAAAAACTACCCAGGCATTATGGTGGGTATCTGTAGTCCCAGCTACTCTGGAGGCTATGAAAGGAGGATCACTTGAACCCAGGAGTCTGAAGTTGCTGTGAGCTATGACTACCTACGGAGACAGAGTGAGACTCCGTCTCAAAAAAAAAAAAAGGAGGAAAGAAAGACTGGCCACCCTGATGAGCGTATAAATGATGTCACCTTGGCAAATTTACCTCCAGCCCTCAGTCTCGCAGGCTCAGAATCCAAGCTTGCCAGCACAAGGGTCCAAGCTCCTGTGAGCTTATGTTTAAAACCAGGCTGTTGATTGATTAATTGGTATTGAGTAATAAACTACCAAGCAAGCCAGATGTTCATGACTTGTTGATGAGAGCATTATGGCTTGTAGGCAAAATCTAATTATCCTAAGAATGCTGGCAGAAAACATGCACTGCGTGCAGGAGGAAGCATCCAGATAGTACGGCCAGTGTCATTGATCTGGGAGGCACTCTGCACCATCTCTGCTGGGCCTGGGTTGACACGTTGTTCAGAAGCTCATGTTCACGGGCTGTGGTACTTTCTCTTTGGGCAAATTCCATTTCTCTGGGGTCCATTCTCCTTGGCTCAGTGCTCCCAACATGCTCATTTTCTTACTATCTTCACGATACCTGCCATATCCAAATATCACCACGCGTACAATTATTGTTGAATCCTGATTACACTTGGGGGGTTAGGGGACCAGTCCCCATGGAGTCAAAAATCTGCAGATAACTTTGACTCCCCACCCCCAGCTTAACCACTCAATAGCCTATTGTTCACTGGAAGCCTTGCTGATCAATAGTTGATCAATACATCTTTTGTAGGGCATATCTGTTATACTGTATTCTCTCAGTACAGTGAGCTGGGGAAAAGAAACAGATATTAAGAACATCATGAGGAAAGGGGAATACATTCACCATCCACGTCTTGCAGGTGGATGAGCACAGGGTCTTCATCTTCTTCCTCAGGTTGGGTGGACTGAGGCGGAGGGGAGGGGGAGGGCCGGGTCTTGCTGCCTGAGGCTGGAGGAGGCAGAATAAAATCCCCACGTAAGCGGCCTACACAGTTCAAACCCCTGCTGCTCAAGGGTAGGCAGAGTTATGTTAGCTTAAGTTTATTAAATTAACTTACTTTAAGTAGTAAAACTCTTTATTTTTAAAGGAAATAAAGAAATAATGGTCCGTGATGAGAGCAAAGGAAAGCTATCCCCGGCCACAAACCGAAGGCAGCCATAAAGCTAAGCACACAGCTGTTAAGAGAGAATGTGACTCTCTGTTACCCTGAACCGCACCAGCGAGATGCCTGCTACTCAGACAGCGCAGGGCAGGCAGCTAGGAGACTCACCCTTTCCCAGAGACATTCCCGCAGCACCAGACTGTCCTCAGACTGCCACCTGGACAGGGCAGATGTGACACCAGTGACGGCTGAGCTTCGGGACCCAGTTCCTCAGCTATGTTTGTACCTGGCTTTGTGGGATTTTTTTTTTTTTTTTGGCTAGGGCTGGGTTTGAACCGGCCATCTCAGGCATATGGGGCTAGAGTCCTACTCCTTTGAGCCACAGGCGCCGCCTTTTGTTTTTTTTAAAGAGCAGCCCCCCTCCTCTACTATTTGTATGAAACTTAATTGCCCCCAAACCTGTATTTATTTCTACTTCTGGGTCATTCTGGAGGTGGGCTGAGTCCCCCTAAAAATTTTACCTTTTTGCATTTCATTCCGAAGGGGTAAGATTTTTCAGATTTGGTGAAAAGGCAAAGAGGAAGCCGAGGTCCGTAGTTTGAGGCCTGGGCAAGAGTGAAGGGTGGATCTGCTTAGCCAGGAGAATGTGAGCTTGTTTTTTTGTTTTGCTTTGTTTTTGAGACAGTCTAAAGCTGTTGCCTGGGTAGAGCGCCAGCTCTCAGGCTTAAGTGATCCTGTTGCTTAGTTTTTCTATTTTAGTAGAGATGGGATTTCACTTTTGCTCAGGCTGGTCTCGAACTCTTGAGCTCAGGCGATCCACCTGTCTGGGCCTCCCAAGTGCTGGGATCCCCAGCGTGAACGGTCGGTTTACAAATGGCAGGCGATGTTCGCCTCTGCGGTCTCTATTTTCTCTTTGGATCTGAGAAAACATCATGGGCTCTAGTGAGAGCTGTGGAGTGTGCCGGGTGTTTGGAATTCTCATTCGGGAGCCCCCAGCGGTGAGAGCTCTGACCACAGCCTGTGGGGCGGGTGGAGCTGGGCAGGACTGTCCCCTGCACAGCCCCAAGCTCC